GGCTTTTATAGACAAAAAGCTGACTGAACAACAGCACCAAGAACTGGAATGATATAACAATGTGTGTGTGTGTGTGTGTGTGTACGTGTAAGTGTGTGTGTGTGTGTGTGTGTGTGTGTGTGTGTGTGTGAGTGTGTATGACGCAATGAGAGAGAGAGAGAGACAGAGAGAGAGAGAAAGGCCGAAGGAGGAGAGAGAGTGAGAGGTGGCACAGTGTGTGAGGAGAGAAAGAGAGATAAAGAAAGAGAGAAGGGATGAGAAGAATGTGGGAGGATAAGGGCAGCGAGTACAAGAATGAACGATGGACATTGGCCGACAGCTGGTGTGTGGAAGAGGGAGACAGAGGCGAAAACGAGTGGGTGAGTGAGTGAATGAGTGAGTGAGTGAGTGTGTGAATAAGTGCAAAAAATGAGGTCAGCGGAGGGAAAGAATGACTGAGGGTAGGAAAATGGGATAAAGGTAAAGAAAACAAAGAAAGGAGGAGAACTTCGACCAGAACTGAGTGAAAGGTTTTTACAAGAAAGGAATAAAAGACAAGGGTGGAGACGGGAAAGAATGTAAAAAAGTTGTACGAGAATGCGGAAGAACCAGAAAACAATGAATAGAATGTTGCCACGAGGAAAGACGTGATGTGTGTTTTGATGCAAGGGTGCAAAATGGGCGTTGGGGGCAAAATACGCATGAAGCGAGAGTTATTTCCCGTAGGAAACACCCCATAACTGAAATCAAGCAAAAATACAGTTGAATTGAACTCAAGTTCTTTTAAAATATAAGAATGATATTGTAATCACATCATGTATAATATTTTCTAACCAAGTTGCTGGAAATTTTGATTCGATTAGGTTTACCGCTTAACTATTTATATTTTTTTTATGGCAGGCATGAAAGCCACTTTTGTTGATTTTATATGGTTCGCATTGCTTCTTATATATTCATTTACCCCACCAACTCTTCCCTCCACCCTTTTTGAAGATCAAGAACCCTAAATTTCGGCAGTCATGATCAGTTAGAAGTATCTTCAGTTATAGATCTGTCATGAAAAAAAAAGAAAACGTCATATTACAAAAAAAATGCAGAGATGTACACTATAGGCAGATAACTCTATGAAAAATTGTCAGCTGCCCTTGGGCTTTTTAATTGTGTAGATGTTAGCCCGATGAGAGCTTGGGAAAAGGGGGGGGGGTCGTGTATGTGTTTACGGTGCTACAACTGGGACAGGTTT